TTGTAGATCTTTGCTGTAGTTATAACCTTCACACGTACTGAAGTTCAGGTGGAGCTCTACAGAGTTTGGATTTATCCAGCTGTGTCTGGCTTAGGTCTGGCTGCTGTGCTCAGCTCCTTTCCTCTGCGGACCAGGGCTAGGACTGGGTCTGGGTGTTCCGGGAACTCAGCAGAAATTCCTGCTCGGTGGGAGGTGTGGGGACGGCGGGAGGGGTGGGGACATACGGTGGAGTGGTGGGGGGCGGCCCGAGGGGGTGGGAGAGGGTCCGGCCCACGCTGTGCCTGGGCTGGGACTGGTCCCGCCTGCGCAGGTTAGCAGGAAGCTCTCCACACACTCACCGGACCTGGGCTAGGACTGGGTCTCCCATTGTTTTTCAAGAGTAAAATTTCTTGGGGCTGGTGAGGTAGCTCAACAGACTAAAGTGCCTGCTTAGGCAAGTTTAGACAAGCAGGGACTGCTGTTTGATCCTTGGCACCACAAGCCCGCCCACCCCGCCCGCCCCCAGGGTTGGCCTGAGCCAGCCAGAGTCCAGGTATAGTGGCGCATGCCTGTAATCCCAGCACTGGGGAGGCTGAAAACAGGAGGATCACCATGAGTCCGAGATGCCTCGTGAGACCCTGTAAAAACCAAATAAGTTAAGAAGAACAAAGTAACATTTCTTTTTCTTATTTACTTGAATTAAAATATAAAACAAATAGTTAATACTGTGCACATGTAAAATTATAGTTGGGTGAGACCAGATGTTTGTAAATAATGTATCTTTGGTTCTGTAAACTATGCTAACTGCAGAAGGGAGTTTGGAGGAGGTTTTCATTTGTGTGTTCATTCTGTGCTTTTTCTGTTTTAAAAATTATTATAGCCAGGCTTGGTGGTGCAGGCCTGTATGTTCAGTGCTGGGGAGGCTGGGGCAGGAGAATCGATATAAGTTGTAGGACAGCCTGGGCCACAGTGTGAGTTGAAGGCCAGCCTATACTACATAGTGAGACCCTGCTTCAAAAACTTAAAAAAAGGGGTGACAAGACAGTATTTCCTGTCTGTATCCAGTCAGTGGTAGTGGATTGACATTCCTCTTAAAAAACAAGGTAACCATCCAATAAGGTTTTTTTGTTTTTTTTTCTTTCTTTTCATCTAGTAAGTTTTGAAATTGTAATAGGAAGAAAGTCCAGGTTGGAAGTGATGACTATCTTAAGATTCTGATATACTGAAATGTGTAGTTATAGAGGTAGATAGATTATTTATACTTGTATCTCTATATCTGTATCTGTGTGTATATATATATATATATATTTTTTTTTTTTTTTTTTTTTTTTTTTTCTCGGAACCAGGGATTGAACTCAGACCCTTGCCTTGCCAGGAAAGCGCTTATTCTACTGAGCCATCTCCCGGCCCCTCCATCTATATTTTTATGGAAGTAGTTTTTTTTTTTTTTTTAATCTTTTCATTTGGTAGAGGGTCTCACTACACTGTTCAAACTTGTAGTGATCCTCCTGTCTCAGCCTCCCTGGTGCTGGTATTACAGGTATGTGCCACCATTCCCGGTTTTCGGTGGCCGGCTTAGTGCGCCCTGGGTTCTAGGGCCAGCATGGTATGTGTACTGGGGATTGACCCCAGGCTCATATAGCTGTATCTATATCTATGAGGTTGTTTTTCTGGAATGTTTAAATACAGTGCTGCTTAGAAACCCAAGAGTTCAATCTTTTTATTTTTTATTTAGTGCAGGGTCTACAGGGTCTATAGGATCTCACTACACAGACTGGACTTGTAATGATTCTCCTGTTTTCAGCTTCGAAACTGCTGGGATTACAGGTGCATGGCACCACTCCCAGTCTGACTCACTGACTCAGTGCACCCCAGGGGTGGGAACAGGGCAAGTGTGGTAGGCCAGGGATCAAACCTCCCACCCCAGCGTCTGCCTAAGCAGGGGCTTTACTCCGCTGAGCTGTCTGGCCGGCCCAAGAGTTTAATCACTGCAGCAGTGACACAAAGATGGCATATAACACACTCCTCTCTCTGCTTCTGCTTCTACTAGGATGCTGAGACTTCTTTAGGGGATAAATTGAACTATATATGTTGTCTTCATGCTGTAATTCAGACTTTTTTTCTTCTCTTTAAAAAAAAAATAGTTTCTAGGGTAAGGGGATATATAGTTCCGTGGCATGGTGCCTGACTGACAAGCTTGAGGTCCTGAGTTTGACTTCTGGTACTAAAAAAGTTAAAAAGAAAAAAAAAAAAAATGCAGTTTTTAGCTTAGATTTCTAAAACAATTCAAGCTTTTTTTTTTGGTGGTGCTACTGGGGATTGAACTCGGGATCTTGTGCTTGCCAAGCAAGCACTTATTCTACTGAGCTATCTCCCTGGCCCCTATTCAAGCATTTAGATCTTTCCTGCCCACTCATCTCTTCAGAAGTTTGTCTGGCCTAGGAGGTATGGTATTTGATTCCTCTGAGAATGTTTGAATTTTAGGTGTATGGAATTTGATTACTTACCCTTCATTTTTGTCTTTTAAAGGTATTTATTTTCTCAGATATGTAGAAAAGTGTGTGTTCATCACTTAACAATAACCAATATTACCACGTTGATGTAATTCTATCCGTAATGCCAATTGCAACAGTACTCTACTGTTAGGCATTGTTTATTTTAAATCACACAACTAGTGTTAGTATAATTATAAAATTTTGCAAGTGTCAAAAAGTGTGTGTAATTGAATTTATTGACAATTTTGTAATGATGGTTTACTATCTTGGCTGGTAAATCTGGAGTGGCGAAGGACTGGTGATGATTTGACCCCATGTTGTGATTTATGGGTAAGGGTTACCTTTATCTTTGGAAGGAGTCACTGTTCAGGTCAGTTTTTTGTTTTTGTTTTTGTTTTTTTCTGCATTTAGGATGGGGTCTACAGGTCTTACTACCACAGATTGGATTTGTACTGATTCTCCTATTTTCAGCGTCCCATGTGCTGGGATTACAGGCCTGTGCCACCAGGCCCAGTCTCAATCCCCTGTCTCAGCACGCCCTGGGGGCTGGACTGGAACTGCGGCCGGGGCCTGCAGGGCATGCTGGGGATTGACCTCTGCTTAAGCAGGCGCTTTAGTCCACTGAGCTATCAGGCCAGCCCTATTAGGTTGTTTTTAAGTTTTTGTTGGCTCTACAGTTTCCTCACATTAACTTGGTTCTTGGTGTATGTGATGGCTTCATGCTTGTTCTTCTTTCTTAAATACCTACTAACTGAGGTATAAATGTTCACGTTTAGGATAAGGATGGAGACAGAGCTGTCCACCATGCGGCTTTTGGGGATGAAGGTGCTGTGATAGAGGTATTGCACCGCGGCAGCGCTGACCTGAACGCACGCAACAAGCGCCGGCAGACACCGCTGCACATCGCTGTCAACAAGGGTCACCTCCAGGTTGTGAAGACACTATTGGACTTTGGCTGTCACCCGAGTCTTCAGGTAAGGCTTATGAATAAGTGCATTGTGCAAGTATTCCTAGGACCTGTTAAAGGGAAGCATCTGGTTCTCTGTAGCCAATTTTTCTAAGTGTGCAGGGTGTTATGGAACTAGCAGCTATTCTCTCTTAGGAGAAGCCTTTAGAACAAAATGTCAGTAGGATGGGTGAAATGAGAAATTCTAAAAAACATTAGCTTATGCATTTATTTAATTTTATGGATCATGACAATGCATTTCAGTTCAAAGAATAAACTGTATTATGTTTTTCTTTTTTTTTTTTTCTGTGAAAGGTTTATTTGGTCATGGAAACACATTTGTCTTCCTCAGGGAATTTCAAATAAATATAAATGTTAGAAAGACTCATTTTTTTGCTCATAAAGTCGAAAAAGCCTAGTAAACATGGGGCACAGAATAAAAATAATAATAAATTTCCCATAACATAAAGGATTTTTCTAAGATAAAATGTTACATTAGATAAGATTATATTTCCTTTTAATTTCAATATTCTTTTTTTTCCCATAACTTTATTGAGAAACAAATAGCAATGAGACAGTTTCAAACCAAATTGGTAGAACAGTTTCAATAATCAACACATTGCATACATTCTTCCTAGTGGTTAATTGCTGTACAAGATGCGGACTTGATATCCTATTTACAAACACTATTAGAACAAATCCCTCTATTCATTAAGAGAATGTGACTATATATCTATCCTAACCACTTTGAATACACAGATACAAAATGGACATTCATGTGTATCCCCTTTTTTTCTGTTAAGTTCCATCATTTAAATATTATAGGTGTGTAAACTCAGCAAAATATTCTAAAAGTGTTCAGTAGTCCATAATAGTATTTGGTCTTCTGCTTGACTGGCAATGTCAGAAATTGTTGACCTGAGTCCCCAGAGCTCAAGGTAACACCATGGCTTTACTTCTTATACTTCGTTTTTATACTTTTCTTCTGGATGGTTAAGACCAAGGTAAAGCAGGACCTATGCAACAAGAGTTGTAGCTTTTGGGCCTGATAAGGTCTTTGAAATCCCCTCAGGATTTATCCTGAGATCCTGTACCTCAGATTGTAGAACCTTTGTCAATGTCAGTCATGTGGATGAGTCACGGCCATTGCGTGGCCAGTGTGCTCTCTGTGAAATCCTGAGAGAATGTTTTCTCTCCATGTGACTCTCCTTAGGCACACTCTACATCATCGATCACTTTCCTCTTTGGGCCCATAATCTCCTTGATCAGAAAATTTGGTACACTGCCGACTTACATGACGTTACAGTACAAGTTCTCATATGTCCTGAGTCTTAATTGACTTTGGAAAGCTAGAGCCAGAATGTTGGCTTTCCTTGCGGCCCTCCCTTTTCTCTAATTTTGGTCTGCAAACTTAGGTTGTCAACCCTCCAGAAGATAAGCTTATTGTTATTACCATACAACCTAGGCTGTTAAGCTTAACCTCACTATCTATCTGAATATCAAACATCTTAGGCATAACATGGAACAGGTATTTTTCATCAAGTATTGGTATGTTGAACTTTAAGTCCCTATAGA